CTACTATGTGCCAGATTTTTTAATAGGTTTTTTACACACGTCTTTCTTTGGGTATTTTAATAGCATCTATTGAGACAGAATACTTACATGTATGAATATATAAGCTTAACACAGTATAAAGCTAAAATATTTCTACAATTATAAATCTATAGCTTGATTTTGATCAACATTTCACACTGTCTTCTAATGAAACTCCATACATACATTTGTTAAATATTTATAGCATACTATTATTATATACCCAGTACTGTGGTTGCAATGGTGGGATGGCAATTTTCTTTGACTGTGGGCTTCTAATCCAGTGGAAGAATCTATCAAGATACCATACAAAGAAGTAGGAAATTTTAATGGAGTTGTATTCTGTGAAAGATACATCTAAGCCTAGGAAAGCTTATAATGGGGTGGTTTGAGCTAGTCAAGAAAGGTCATGAAAGCCTTTTGTAAGGAAAGACTGTTAAGGAAGAGAAGTGTTGTAGGCAGAAGAACAGGTTATATGGAAGGAGGAAATGAAAGAATGGTCATTTGCTCGAGTAGGAATACAAAGTTCCACGTGATTTATACCCCAGATGCTTACCTTAACCCACACATCTTTCTGTCTCAGCATGCTAGCAGAGATTTTCTCAACAGTTCTTATAAGAGGCCTACTCGGTTGAATTTTCTGGGATTGGGAAAGGAATCAGTGTGGTATTAGTTTGGATTTCTGACTCCAGGGTTGTTAAATATACATTTAAAAAAAGCATTTTCTTAATAGGTGACAAAAGCAGGACTCCCTAAATCTATTTTCAATCACAATATACTATTTCAAAGCTTTGTAATACTGTATTATTAAGCTTTTGCCCTAAGGTTTTTAATACATAAGTGATTTATGTATTAAATATGTGGTTTAGAAATTAAAATTTAGGCACTTGTTACCAAAGACTGCAACTTCAGTTTGTGAAAATAAACCTGTTCTTTTTGTCTGTTCTAAAAGCAGATGAGTGTAAGATGTCTGTGAAATATACCCTTACCAAATTTTAAACTTTTAAAATTTCTCATCCCTTTCCTAGGAGAATAAGATTTGCTATGGGGACTTGCATTTTGTAGGCTATTGCCTTCCCTGCATTATTTATGAGTTTTATTATGAGTTTAATCGTAGTATTTCTGTTATACACCACTGAATTTGTATTTAATGAATTGAATTTACATTTAATCAGTTTGTGTTAAAGTGACTTAATGAGATGCTTCATTTTTCTGTGTTAAAAGCAGGTCAAGGCCAACCGAAAGATTCAGGGCGTTACATTATTTAGTGCTCATTTTCTGCAAACTTGTAATTTTATCATGATTCACGGTTTAACTAAACCAGTTAATGACATTTCCTGTAACCATTTTTAATAATTCTCGAAGGTCAGACATTCTACTGTTGATTCATTGGCAAACTTTTTTTAACTTTCTAACATGGGAATGCTCACGTTCTTTTGTTTTCAAAATGGAATATGCAGAATAAGATTGTGTCAGATTATCAAGGAATGGAATAAAAGAGGCAGTCGAATTTAGAACTGAAGATACCACGTTTCCAACGTTTGAATTTGTGGAAAACAGCAAAGAAACATATTGGAGCTTTTTACTCCTATATATAATGTACCTGGAAATAGTGTTCAAAGTAAAAACAATAAAGAACTCAAATTATCTGTGCAGGATATTTTCCTTCTTGTTTTATCTCCACTCTCTCCAAACCTTCCGTCTCCTCCCTTTATCTTGATTGTGGCTTTTGTCCTCGGGGAAGAGCAAGGCAGACAGTAACTGTCACCTTTCCGACCCCAAATCTACATATACACCCAGCAGCGTTTGTACTCAGCTCCCACTCATCCTCCCTGGAGCAGTGAAGTCGATGCCTATTCAAGGGTCACTCCACACGCCGGCTGTCTGTCCCTCTCCACCTTCACAAGAACTTTGTATTTCACCGCTTTTCTCTTTCCTGCATCTTTTCCTTCCTCCACTCTTCAATATCAGTCCTCTCTTGCTCTAGTGACCCTGCACTTCAAGGCAGCCTTTCTCCTTGACCCCAGCTTCACCCTTACAGGCACCCCGCCCCCCTCTTTTTCTTCTTTGCTTCCAGCCAAGGTGCTTTGAGGACATGCCTCTGCACTGGCCACCACTTCCCATGTGCTTCCAGGCATTCCGGTGGGCCCCGCCCCTCGCCAACACTGACCGTGTAACATGGATGACTCCCGTGGGCACTTTGAATTTTGCATCTTTGTCTCTGAACTGCTATGAACTATCTTTCTCCCTGAGACTTTTCTTTCTTCTCTCTCTCATCATTCCAAACAGCCCAGTCTCCTGATTTCCTTCCTGCCTCCATGGGAACTTATTTCTACCAAGTTTTCTTAGGGACTCCTTTGACTACTTTCCTTTTATTTATATGGTTTTACACCAAATTTCTATTCTGAAACCTTCTATTTTATTTTTAATCTTTAGCCAAGACTTCTTTTGAGCCTCATGCTTTAAAATTTTTATTTATTTATTTGGGAGAGAGAGAGCACAAGCAGGGGGAGCGGGAGAGGGAGAAGCAGACTCCCCACTGAGCAGAGAGAGCCCGATGTGGGGCTCGATCCCAGGACCCCGGGATCATAACCTGAGTTGAAGGCAGATGCTTAACCAACTGAGCCACCCAGGCGCCCCCAGCCTCATGCTTTAAATGTTACTATTGCCTGACTTCACCGTTTGCATGTCTCACTTATATTGAAAACTCAGCCTCATTTGAACTCTACTTCTCTTGTCTCTTCCTCAAGTACCCACGAGCCCATCACTCCTCTAGTCCTCCGGCCATCCTAATGTCTATGTCAGACACCTCCAGGGCATTCCTGATAAGAGGCTCTTACTCAGCAGCATCCCTGGTCCACCACCACACACTGTGGATTCTTCCTCCCAATCGCTGTACAACCCCTCCTTGTCTCACAATCTCCACAAATACCAAAGCCACTTACTATGTTGAGCTAGATTACTGTAATAGCCTTCAAATTATTTTCTCTCCTTTGAATTTTGTTCACCTTAAATCCATTTCCCAAATAGCAGCTCGCATGATCTCTTAAATCTTCACATTAAATTATTTTGTATGTGGCTTAAAATCTTTCTGTGACTTGCCATTTGACAGAAATTCAAAGTGCAGTTCTTTAGCATTTCTGTTAGACCCTGCATGATCTAGCCCTGCCTCCCTCCCTGAACACATTTTATGTCATTTTCCTCACTCATCTGTGACTGAGCTAAACTGTCCTCCTTTATACATCCCTAAACGGCTTCCCTTTTGTTGTTCTGTTTGTCTGGAATGTTCTTCCTCTATAGTCTTCAATGAAACATTTCTCTGGAATCACAGGAAATGCCAATTTTCATGCGAATTTTCCCCTGACTGCTCACAGTCCAAAATGGAACCCACTTGTGATATTGTCTCCTAGGGAATAATGCTCTATTGCTTTACAGAACTAATCATAATGTATTGTGATATGTTAGTTAGGAGGCTCTGCAAGAATAGTTAAAATCTCAGACTCTTACGTCACAGTGCTAATCTGATCCTGACTCTATGTCTTATGTGCCGTGTAACTACGGGCAAGTTCTCCAACCCCCCAGCACCCACGTTTCTTAGTGAATAGTAATAATATGTATCTTGTAGGGCATTTGCAAAGAGGAAGTGGTTAATATTTGTAGAGTAAATGCAACATATAGTAGGCACCAGATATGTGCTTACATACATACGTATGTATACGTTTGTGCATAATTTACTTAATGCCTGAAGACACAAAACTATCATCTGCCACAATTCTTGACCTATGACAGGCTGATAGTAAATATTTGCTTATTGAATTGATGAACTATGCAGTGTACCTTACAACTAAGCTTCATTGATTTTCAGAGAAAAAAGGAATGATTGTTATATTTGTAAGAATATGTGATCAGTTATAAAATTTATATTTTGGGTTGTGATCCACCTATTAAAATTGTTTAATTATGTGTTTTTGAGAAAATCTCCAACATTTCATCTGGCCAGCCTCCTACCTTCTAGCAGGCATGGTTTTATTTTTTCCTCATTTTGCAGATGTGATACTCAGCCCCAAGAGCCTCAGGGGCTCATACAAATAGCAGAGTTAATAAATGATGGGATGTTTCCACTTACCTCACTGTCCTGGATCTCACTGCAGAACTCAGTGTTCTTAGCTTTTTTGGAAATAACCAATGAACTATGTGAATACTTTTGGTAGGATGAGTGATATTTTTGGGTGATAATTCTTAAATTTTCATGTTGGGACAGGCATTAGAGGTTGACGTTCTGTCCTCCTGCAGCTTCCTAGTTGTTCAGGGCTTCATCACTTAGAGCAATCCCTGTCTGCAAGGTCTGCTTGTCCTTGGCCTTGCCTCCATCATTCCCTCCATCATGCCATGCCTTCTGTATATAAGCTTTCCAGCGAGCAGTTCTAAAAGGCCACCTGTTGTTCCTGATTCTTTCACATTACTTTCCTGGGTTAACCCTGGTAGAAAGATTGTACCATCACATTTCAAGATTACTAAAACTCTGTTCCTGTCATTGACTTTACTGCCTTTCCCCCTAGCTTTTCCTTGCGAGAGGTAAGCAAGTGGTTAGTTTGTCCTTGAACCTTCCCAGGTGTCACCATATCATTTCTGGATTCTGAATACATTTCATTGTTTGTTGGCTTTTTTTTTTTTCTCTCTCTCTCTCTAAAGGCTCCGAAAATTTGAGAGCTGAAAGGGACCTTACGTAATTCAAGTCCTAAATTTATAATCAGAGAAACTAAGCTTCAGGAAGGTGAGTGACAGGCTCAGGGTTACACTAGGAGTTGGGGGCTCAGATGAAAATTGCTGTTGGAGCCTTAGTGCACTTTTGTTACCAATTTACTCACTTTATGAAAGAGAAAGCGGCGCAACAGGACTGGGACGTACAAACCACACATTCAAATAAAATGATATGATTGATTTTCGTGTTCATTTATTCATTTATGTTTTATCTTTCACAGTTTAACAGCAATGCCCAGGATGTGAGCTGTTTTCAGCACCTTGTCCAAGCCAATGTGAGAAATAAGAAAGTGCTGAAAGACGCAGTGAATAATATCACAGCAAAAGGAATCACTGACTATAAGAAAGGCTTTAGTTTTGCTTTTGAACAGCTGCTTAATGTAAGTATCCATACCACCCCCTTTTCTCTTTTATTACTGAATCACAGCATATGAATTTCAGTATGCTGGTACTTACCACCATCAGTCACTATGAGTTACATAACAGTGCTGTTTTTCATTTAATTTAAAAGCAGATGTGTCCAGGCAATAGAAATCTTTGAACTACTTTTATTTTTAAATCCAAAATTCAAAAGACATACAAAATGTAGACATTCTTTTTTCTTTTAGATCTTTTCTTCCATCATCTTTTAAGAAGCACATTTGTAAGATAATTATTTAATTTTGTATAAACCCTTCCAATTTAGATGGCATATGTAGAATATCATTTCCTTTTTGTTTTCTCTGTCGCTACTCTATCTGGAGACTGGCATTTTCAATCTTCAATGGCTGGTGGAAATACTGTAGTTTTAAACATCTACTTGGTTCTTGAAGTTATTTCTTAATGTACAGGAAGGTCCAAATGACAGACATGAAGGTGAGGAGGACATAAAATGCCAGAGCAGGGATTCCTTCCTCAGTGAAGATCCCCCTCCCAATAAATCACCCACCGGTGTTCCGTTTAGACTCTCACACTCCAGCACGCCTACTGTCTGCCCCATATTACAGCGCATATCTCACACTCCAGACTAGTGTTCTCAAATGGCTATGTCCTCTATTTCATTTTGAACTCTTCAAGTGCAGGAGTTATCATTCAGGTTTTTTTTGGTTTTTGTTTTTTGTTTTTTTAAGATTTTATTTATTTGACAGAGAGAGACACAGCGAGAGAGGGAACACAAGCAGGGGGAGTGGGAGAGGGAGAAGCAGGCTTCCAGCTGAGCAGGGAGCCCGATGCGGGGCTCGATCCCAGGACCCTGGGATCCTGACCTGAGCTGAAGGCAGACGCTTAACGCCTGAGCCACTCAGGCACCCCTCATTCAGTTTTTTTACCTCTCACAAAGCAATATTATCGTGGTGGTTGAGAGAGCAGACCTAACCTTTCTCTACTTGGGTTTCCTCCCTTACACCATGGCACATACCTCAGAGGGTTGTGGGTAGGATTGTCCACAGAACCTGACACACAGCAAACCTCATGTGAGTGTGGGTTGTTGGCTTGGCAATGGAGTCATGATCATTATGACCATAGTTAACAACTAGCACATGTCTGCTAGAGAGTCAGCTCATAATTCATACCATATTTGCTGAGTCACTGAAGAAGCCCTTACACGTGGTCTTATCTGCAAATCCTACTTTGTTGTTCCCTAAGTAAAGCTTCCAAAACAGTTTTCAGGATGTCTGATTGGTTGCTTGATCCATTTGTTGATTCGGCCAATATTCATTGTGTGCCTCACAATTTCCTGTCATGTTACCAGCACTAGAATAGCAGAGGTAAACAAGACTGTCTGATCTCAACAACGTCCAGCATGATATGGTTAATTATTATTCCTAGTACAGTACGTTAATGCTGTTATAGGGCATTTGGAGTCTGTTTACTTGAGTGACACCAAAGAGGGGTTCGACTTACCCAAAGAAGGTTGGGAAAGTGGGCATTTCCTTGAAAACAGGATTTTGAAGAATGAGTAGAATTTAGGCAGGTAGATGAGAGAGGGAAAATCATGTCAGATAAAAAGAACAACATGGACAAAGGCACAGACGTAGGAGACATCGTGGCACATTGAGAAAATGGCCGGTGCGTCAGCATAGCTGGGACATAGCAGTACAGGAGCTGCGAGGAAAATAAAAAGGCCATGAGGTATCAGTTAATGAGGTGTTTAGGAGCAAATGAAAAGTTGATAATATGAGAATGACATGGTCTAACGAGTGTTTTAAGTTAAGCTGTTATATAAGTCCTGGTCTTGAAGTAGATGCAAAGAAACGTTAAGGAGAATGACACGGTAACTAACTGGATGGTTCTCTGGACTCGAACACTTGGTGGCTGGTGACACAGGAATCTAGAGAGAGGGACTGTGAGGGTAGAAATAGCTCCGTTTCCACTATGGGGAGTTTGAGGTGGTGGTATTTATTAGGTAGCGTTAGATAAGCAAGCAAGGAGACAGGAAAGCAAAGTAGTTCAGCTTTGCAGTTTCCAGGGGAATTCTCTTTGGTAAAATGCATATGTTTATTAAAAGATGTATGTTGGTTAATAGAAGGATGAAAACTCAGAACTTTGAGATTCAGATGTAATGAACGATTAGATGAAAATGGATTCTTTCTGCAGTAAAGAAATAGAAGTTTGTGGGTTTTTTCATAGAAGTTCTTTTTCTTTTAAGTCAATCAGGTTTTTCTAGATTGTGGGATTGTAATTACTCTTCTTGGTATTGTTAATTTGCGTCACTTCATTCCCTTGTATTCAGGATTCAGTTGTGAAATGATAAGGGGTCTCAAGCCTCGTGGACTATTTCCAAGGCTGTCTCATTAGAGAGGCCACATTAACTCCCAGATTCACTACTAGTTGCTGATTAAATATGATTTAACTCCTCTTGGCCTCTTGTACTTCCTCTACTACAGTTGTAAATGATATTTAATATGACTTCAGTTATTCCTGAAATAAGTCCTATGTTCTGCTTTCCACATATCCCTTATGTATTGCAGTTCTTCATTTTAAAATAATTCCCCCAAGGGCACCTGGTGGCTCAGTAGGTTAAGCAGCTGACTCACGATTCTCAGAGTCGTGGGATCGAGCCCCATGTCAGGCAATGTTCTCAGCGCAGAGTCTGCTTGTCCCTCTCCCTCTGCTCCTTCCCCTGCTTGTGCTCTCTCTCTCTCTCAAATAAATGGATGAATGAATAAAAAAAAAAAATCTTTAAAAAAATAATAAAATAAGATAATTTTCCCAGATGTCATTACTTGCCGTATTCAAAGTTGAAGCAGATTTTGTTACCTATTTCAAATGCTTCCAGTCTTATCACAGTGTCATTCTTTAGTTTTTGTTTGTCCTTCTAAGGTTTATCATTAAGATCCCTGAAGCAAATATCAAATAGAATTAAATGTATCATTTATCCCACAGTATACCTTAAACTGAGATTTGAATTAGTCCTCGGGTAGAATTTCATAAAGTATTACAAATATACAGAGATGCTTTGTTCAAAAAAAATTTTTTTTTAGATTTTGAGAGAGAGAGAGCATGAGCGAGGGGAGGGGCAGAGAGAGAGAAGTGGACTCCCCACTGAGTGGGGAGCCAGACGCGGGGCTCAATCCCGGGACCCTGAGATCATGACCTGAGCTGAAAGCAGATGCTTAACTGACTGAGCTATCCAGGCACCCCAGAAACTTTTTTATTAAGTACATGATATGAAAGATGCTGTGCTCTGTACAGGCCACACAATGATACAAGGAAACACAGGATACACAGGGATATACATACCGTAATTTGTTACGAAATAACATACTAAATTACCAACCCTACTAATTGTAGTTTTATTGAAATAGTCAAGTTCTTTCCTTTACTTAATTTGTTACAAACCAGTAACATATAATTGTTATGATTGTGTGATTCTTTAGATAACTGCAAATCCTCTGACTAGTTGCTGACTTTGCTCCACCACACGTCTAAGGAGGCTACTCCTGGGAAAAATCATTTGTTGAAAACAAAACATTTTGTCATTCCCCCTTTTGTGTATGTCCTAACATCTCTCCCTCTTGGGAAACATTATTATTTTAATTACACAAATGATCAGCAAGACCCCATGTGTTTACTTACACTGGTACTCGTATTCATTAATAATTATGGCCCCACTACTTCCAAAAATGAAACCAAGTCCTTATGTAAAATCTTTACCTAATCACTTTTATGTAACAGTCCTTTAGGTACCTATTATTTTGCCCACCTTAAAGAGGCAGATAAAAAGAAATCATCAAAGAAATTAATTTTAGTTAAGGATTTCAGTGCCTTTCACAAAAGCATTTTGATGATAAAATATGTAACTTTTTGTATAGTCAGATTTTCCTATGGCTTTCAGATAAGAACTATGTTTGAATGTGACAATTGTATTAGTCAATACTTGCATTTTCACAATACTTTGTTCAAAGCTTTAACTGCCAGTGTTCTGATGGCCTGATCGATGGGGTGAGATTATATGAAACAGGGTTTTTCATCAGTAGAGCATAATAGTCTTGCTTAACTTTTACAATGGTAAATGAGATTTATCTTCTTTGAAAAGTAAGATCGAGTATAGACTTTCCAGAAGACTAACCACTACCCAAGAATTAATGATTTTTTTTCAAAAATAGTAATCATTTAAAGGCCAGGGCTGGTGCTGTCCAGTATGGTAACCACAATTCCATGTGTCTGTTGAGACTTGAAATGTGCCTGGTCTGAATTGAAATGTGTTGTAAATATAAAATACACACCAGGATTTGAAGAGCTACTCTGAAAGAAAAAAATGTATACCATCTCAGTAATTTCTATATGGATTTCATGTTGAATTGATAATATTTCGGATGACTGGGTTAAATAAATATGCTAGTAGAATTAATTTCAGAGATTTCTTCATACTTCCATTACTGTGGCCATTAGAAAGTTAAACTTACAAATTTGGCTTGCAGAATACCTCCATTGAACAGTACTCAGCTGGAGGCTTGACATTTTCAAGGAAGCTGAGCATTCATAAAGTAGTGTGATCTTTTATTCTCAACACTTTTGCAAACACATTTCACAACAGTAGAAGCTTGAGATTGTAATTTCAGACCTCAAAGAAGTCCAGCTTTCTAAAGTAATTGTTCATTTTAGTGGCCCTTTGTTGCTAATCCATTGTTCTCCTATGACTGACTCTTTTTTTTTCTTTTTTCTTTTTTTTTAAATTTTATTATGTTATGTTAGTCACCATACAATACATCATTAGTTTTTGATGGAGTGATCCACGATCCATTGTTTTCGTATAACACCCAGTGCTCCATGCAGTACGTGCCCTCCTTAATACCCATCACTGGGCTAACCAATTCCCCCTCCCCCCTCCCCTCTAAAACTCTGTTTGTTTCTCAGGTCCATAGTCTCTCATGGTTCATCTCTCCCTCCAATTCCCCCCGCCCATTTTTCCCTTCCTTCTCTTATGTCCTCCATGTTATTCCTTATGTTCCACAAATAAGTGAAACCATATGATAATTGACTTTCTCTGCTTGACTTATTTCACTTAGCATAATCTCCAGTCCCATCCATGTTGATGTAAAAGTTGGGTATTCATCCTTTCTGATGGCTGAGTAATATTCCATTGTATATATGGACCACATCTTCTTTATCCATTCATCTGTTGAAGGGCATCTCGGCTCTTTCCACAGTTTGGCTATTGCAGACATTGCTGCTATGAACATTGGGGTGCATATGGCCCTTCTTTTCACTACATCTGTGTCTTTGGGGTAAATACCCAGTAGTGCAATTGCTGGGTCATAGGGTAGCTCTATTTTTAAATTTTTGAGGAACGTCCACACTGTTTTCCAAAGTAGCTGTACCAACTTGCATTCCCACCAACAGTGTAAGAGGGTTCCCCTTTCTCCACAACCTCTCCAACATTTGTTGTTTCTTTCCCTGTCCATTTTTGCCATTCTAAATGGTGTAAGGTGGTATCTCAGTGTGGTTTTGATTTGGATTTCCCTGATGGCTAATGATGATGAACATTTTTTCATGTGTCTGTTAGCCATTTGTATGTCTTCTTCAGAGAAGTGTCTGTTCATGTCTTCTGCCCACTTTTTGACTTGATTATTTATTTTTTGGGTGTTGAGTTTGAGAAGTTCTTTATAGATATTGGATACCAGCCCTTTATCTGTAGGGTCATTTGCAAATATCTTCTCCCATTCTGTGGGTTGCCTCTTTGTTTTGTTGACTGTTTCTTTGGCTTTGCAGAAGCTTTTTATCTTGATGAAATCCCAAAAGTTCATTTTTGCTTTTGTTTCACTAGCTTTTGGAGATGTATCTTGAAAGAAGTTGCTGTGGCCGATGTCAAAGAGGTTACTGCCTATGGTTTAAGAGGGGATTTGCCATTGGAATTGAGTCTTTCAGAATTAGAATATGTTTGGTGGGCTGAGAGGATAACAGGATAGTCTGGGATTAGCATTTACAAAAATTTAAGAGCATCGGGTGTTAGGGATCAACTAGGAGTTTTTAATTTTGAAGAGGTAAAGTGAATAAAGTAGGATGAAGAAGGAGGAAAGGGAGCAAAAATGTTTGTAAATGGATTAAAAATATATGTGGAAGGGTATGCAGAATTTTCATTCATACTATTTATTTGTTTCTGGTACAAATTATAGGGGCATAAAATTGACATAATAGCCATTAGTTTAAAATCCATTTATTAATCAACCACTGAGAGGTTATTATTATATGCTAAGCCCTTGACGATCAAAAAAGACAAAACTTCATGCCCTTATGGCACTTAAATTCAATCAGGGGAAGTCAGCAATAAAAAAGTAGATAGTATGTACATAAAAGAATATAAAATGCTATGAAGCAAAATACAGCCTGGGAGAGAGATGGCAATGTAAAACATAGTTTTCATTGATAGGTGACATTTGATCAAAGACCCAAAGGAAGTGAGACCTGTGGATGTCTGGGGGATGGGAGGAGGCCCTTGTAGGGATGGGCCTGGCCTGATCTCGGAAGTTGTTCTTTAGAATATACCTACTGAACAGATCTTTCACCCACTACCTGCAATCTGTTCATGCTCTTTACATATTGTTTTATATTCCTTACCTTTTATTGTGAATGATACACATTTTGTTTTTGTTTTCTTTACAGTATAATGTTTCTAGAGCCAACTGCAATAAGATTATCATGTTGTTCACGGACGGAGGAGAAGAGAGAGCCCAGGAGATATTTGCCAAATACAACAAAGACAAAAAAGTGAGTGCAAGTTTATAGTATTTTAATCTTAATATCAATGTAGGTGGTTTTTAAAGAGACTGTCAGGGAGGGGCAGTAAGAAGGGATGTTAGTGTGCTGATTATAAAGTCATACAGATCATGGATTATAAACCATTGGCTAAATTAAAGAATTATTAAGTATATAATATTTTTATGTGATCCATAACTACCTATGTCTAACTTATTAATTTAGACCTATAGAACCCTATTTGATTCTTATATATAAATTCTATATAAGAAAATGTTATAGGAAGAGAATAACCAGAAGAGAATGGAAAAATAGGAACAGTTTGAGCTTTTCTAGGATAAATTTATGATCATTTAGTTATTAAAGATTATAGGGGTGCCTGGGTGGCTCAGTTGTTAAGTGTCTGCCTTCAGCTCAGGTCATGACCAAGGGGTCCTGGGATCGAGCCCCACATTGGGCTCCTTGCTCAGCCGGAAGGCCTGCTTCTCCCTCTCCCACTCCCCCTGCTTGTGTTACCTCTCTCACTGTCTCTCTCTGTCAAATAAATAAATAAAATCTTTAAAAAAAATTATTAAAGATTATAGTAATACTAAAACTTCCTACAGATGCCTAAAAATTATCTTCACAGACATTGTTCTGTTGATTTACAAATAAAGCAATTTATAACAGCAAAAACTGCATCCTCATTTGAAAACCTTTTTATTTTTATTTATTTTTGTGTACCTTAAAAGTAAAACAGCCAGTTATTTTACCAGCAAAATGGGTTTATTCAGGAATAGCAGAAGAATTCCAGCTCACAACCTGTGAACCATGGAAAGCCAGAGGCAAGTGCCCATAGCAGAGGAAAGGAACACTACTCTGTAGAAAAAAACAAAACAAAACAAAACAAAACAAAACAAGAAGTTGGTGAGGGGCTGCAAAAATCCATTGGAGGAAAGCCAGAGTTCAGGGTGGTGCTGGTTTCTCACTGGCTGAGTTGAGGTATTTTCTTATTGGCTGAGCTCATTGCTGGGCAAGGAGAAACTCTTTCTCCTGCTGAAGTAGTAACATAGGCATCTTCTGTTGCAAATGCCAAGTACCTCTTCTTTTTGGGGTCTGCAGCTGATGAGGGGTGTTAGGGAATGACAACTCCCCCTTCTGGCCTCCCAACACCATTTTAAATGAGGCTTCCTTTATTCAGTTCTACGCTTTGAAGAAAATATTTTAGACAAAATCTTTTATAATAATGTATGGTATGTAAAAGGTGTTCTATTTCAGTATGCAAAGAAGAATGTGAAGATAAGTATTTTGAGGTTGGAATGTATTTGTTTCAATGATTGTTTAACTGCAGAGGAAAGTATTGTTGTAGGGAGCCCTAATTTGAATGTCCCTCCATGTAGCAAAACCTGCTGATATTGTGGAGAATATCAACTATGACCATTTCTCTAGCAATCCTACCATCAGCTTATTTCATCTTTCTTAGTGACTCTTTGCATTTGATAAGAGAATGATTCTCAACTTGGTTTTTTAAAATGTTAAGGATCCATTAAAAAAAATAATGATATAAGCTATTTTTTATGTTTCACAAATTCCAACAGAAATTACGTATTTATCCACAAGTCTCTTCTGAGGAAAATGCCAATTCACTTTGCTTTTATTTGGACTTTTCATACTTAGGAAGGTGTGGCTCATCATGAGCACTAGTGGGTTGTTTTATATGCATTTCAGGAATTGAAAGGAGAGAAGAAAAAGGTGAACTAATTTTTTTAGATAGTTTTGCAGACACAACATTGTGAATAATTTGGTATAGTATTGATGAAAATTTTGCAGCACTTTGAAATACTCTTTTTAGCCTTTATGTGATTGGAATATGATTAAAGAATTGAAAACATAAGCAAATTACTTACTTTGAAACATGCCTTCATCAAAGCAAAGTCAACTTTTGTGGACAAATAATTTCTTTATTCATGCCCAGTAGTGCTTTGTTTTAAAGATATTATTTATTTATTTGAGAGAGAGTGAGAGCCAGAGAGGTCACAGAGGGAGAGGGAGAAGCAGGCTTCCCGCAGAGCAGGGAGCCCAATGCGGGGCTCTATCCCAGGACCCTGAGATCATGACCTGAGCCAAAGGCAAAGCCTTAACTTGACTGAGCCACCCAGGCATCCCAGGAAGAATTTCTTAAAGGAATACAGCAATGAATTTTACATTTGATATCAGAATTTGTGCCTGAGGTGTATCTTGATTTTAAGGAATATATAATATATTCTGTTTTTTTTTTAATTATGTTAATCACCATACACTGAATCATTAGTTTTTCATGTAGTGTTCCATGATTCATTGTTTGCATATAACACCCAGTGCTCCATGCAGAACGTGCCCGCTTTAATACCCATCACCAGGCTAACCCATCCCCCCCACTCCCCTCCCCTCTAGAATCCTCGGTTTGTTTCTCAGAGTCCATAGTCTCTCATGGTTCGTCTCCCCCTCCGATTTCCCTCCATATAGTCTAACAAATTTGAATAAAAGAATATAAATGCATAAAAGGAGAGGTGATTTTCATCTAGACTTGTAATTTTTTTCTTCTTCCAAAACTGTATTTGCATCCAGGATTAACACAATAATATCTCTTGGAGGCATATCATGAGGGTTTTTTTTTTCCTTTTTCTTTTTTTAGTACAAAAGGAATTATGTCATAAGGAAAACAATTGTTTTCTACTCTCTATTGTCACAAATTGTTTAATTGAATAAATGAAGAATTTGCTAGTTTAAAGCCATTTTTCTGTGTATACATTCTAAAAATGTCCATTCTAAATATTAATGTCTTGAAACACTGCTTCTCATCCCCTTCACCTTTTACAGGAACTCAGCTTTTTAAACAAAGCATTTTGTGACATGCTAAACCACATAATAAATGATTCATATCACATTCACTTTTGTAAAACTGAATAAGAATTTAGTCTTACTCAACCATCCTGCTGTTTTGTTAGCGAACAATGACTCCTATGCTCTGTGGACACACACTTTTCTTAAGGCCACATACCTTTATTAATGCCAGAGCAACTTTGGAACTGAATCAGTGCTTAGTTTCTGCAGTTTAAATGCTATTTTTACCTAACATAAAAATGAAAATGTTCTTGAAATTAGGTACTTTATTGGTTCTGTGACTCTAATTTCAGTGGCTGTAGCCAAGTTCTGTGATAAGCACACTTATACATATATGCGTACCTACATACACAGATAGATCCACACACATTTGTATGTTTTAAATGGGCATCGTCTTCTCTCTGTCCATTGTATCTCCAGGAACAAGAGACCATGTGTGTTACTTTGGCATAAGATTTATTATATAAAGTTGTATCAATAAAAGCCAACAGGTAGTTGAGAAGTTAATAAGGGGTGAGGAAATAGAAATCTGGATAAAGTCCTTTTTTTTTTTTCTAAAGTCTTTGCAAATTTGCTAAGAAATATTGGGGGGAAAGTAAGACCATCAACTCCAGGTGAAGTTGTTTAGATACACAGGTATGGATGTGTATACACATATGTATTTTTAAGAATGGATGAGCTAATTCATTATTCTGTGTTATAAATTAGGAAAGGGATACACACCCAGGGAAAGCTTATAGACCCAAAATAGAGAAATGATAATTGATGGAGATCCTTGAAAGAGGAGAGACAGAGAGAGAGATACAGATCATAGGTTTCTGATTTGAACAAGCAGGAATCCTATTTATGGAAACATTGCTGTCCCACATTTCTTATGCTCTCTACTTTGTTGCTCAGTGCCTTACCACATTTCCTCATGTGGGAAAACTTTGTTAAACCAAAATTTTATCTCTTGGTATTTGCATGTTTTGTATCCACTAACAGTGAAAGTAGGGGATAGCAGATGACAACTTTTAAGTCAGTTAGATGTTTGAGCATATCTGTATCTTGTCAAGACACCATTTACATAGTTAATTGTTTATGCTAAAGGCATGTGTAGGTATTATGTACCTACTGAAGATAGCATGTATGAGAAATTTTTTTCACCATCTTCAAATATGACTTCAAATGGTTGTGGATGAATTTAAGGACCCCTTTCTAACTTCTCCATATTTAGAATCCCCTACCTCCCACCATCCCACACCATGTGAGACATGTGCCACCCACAGATACTGATATAGAAGGTAAGTGACTATCTTTGTCATGTAAGGATGTACATGACACAAAATGTTTAGTATTTTTGCCATAGACTTCTTTGCCACAAGCATTTTCATTGCAAGCATTTTCACCTTAGAACTAAATGGCCATAAGGCAACTTTGCCATAAAAGATAAAAAATAATTGATTGACAGGTCGGTTTGACAGTTTGGTTTCTCAAACTGGTTGATAGTTTGATTTCTTTTCTCCATCGGTGCATGCTGCATTGACGGATTGTACTCCCATTTCTGTCTGACATAAATATTAGCCCTCATAATGGTGTATACACATTTCCTATAGAACTTTGCAATGTCTATCACTGGACATGTACCAGTATGGGAAGAAAAAAATAACTATGGAGAACGCTTTCACAACACACACAAAAAAACACGAAGCTTAGTGACAGATATGCTTCCTAGTGTTTAGAGACTGATCTCTCTCATAAGATGAAGAAATTTTAGCAAAAAAAAAAAGAAAGAAAAAGAAAAGTACAATGTTGAAGAATGAGACAAATCAACCAGCCAAAACATCCCAGAAAAATATAACACGATGAATGAAAGACTTCAAAGCCCAGTGCTTAGGTATAACCCACAGAATAAAAGCAGTGAGTTTTGCAGTACTTACTGCTCTGACTCCACAGCGTACATTTTGAATGTATTCAAGTAGTTTGTATTTCACAAAATAAAGTCTTTTAAAATTTGTCACTCATTATCCATGTTTCATTATCTTTTTCAATGAATGATGCTCTTTTATTTTTCATGATTTTATCTCTTATAGGAAAATTGCCTTAAAGCCAATACTTAGGCAGTGAAATGTTTGCAGTGAAATTGCTTGGAGCAGAGATGTTTACAGTGA